ATGTTTAAGGAATAATAAAAGCAGATACATGTGTGCTCATTACCTATATCCAATTTCAGAAAGAAGAAAAGTAGCAAAGCTCATGCCCTTACCCGACCACATCAGGTCAATCCTCACAGAGGTAAGCACTAATCTAAATATTTGGTTAATTACCCCATTGCTTTCCTTAATAATTTTTCTACACACACATGAACCCTTAAATAACAATATTAGCTAATTCTGCCCTTTGCTTTCAACTTTGCACACATTTAATCACACAATGTAAGCTTCTGCAGTTTTATTGCTCAATATGACTTTCTATATTCATTCATATTGAGGCATAGGTTGTGATTTATTCATTTGCACAGACACATGAGACTACATGCCACAATATAAACACATCACAATTTATCTCTGTTAATATTCTTGGTAGAAATCTGTGTTGCTCCAGTTTGGGGCTAATAAAAATACTGTTATGAACATTCCTATCAGTGCCCTGACTGATGTCTCCAATGTCTGCAAGCAAGAGCAAAATTACATGTGTAGGACTTAATCCTTCCCAGAGCATTCCATGACTCCACATATCTTCCAACTTTCTATGGGCGTACTTTCTCCTACTGGATTCTTTTTTCATAAGGAGACCTTTTGATATGATCAACATCCATCTTCTGTCAATTATACAAATAGAAAATACCTCCATTCAACATGTAGCACCTGTTTTTATGTATTCACTTATTTGTTTACTTTAGCTTGTCTCTCAATTTCATTTATGGAGTCTTCTACTGGACAACAGTGTTACTTTAAAATGGTCAACTTCAAAGTGATTTTTTTTATCCTTAATGACTTTTCTGAAGAATTCCCATACTTCAGATACCATAATTTACCCAGGTAATAATGATAATCTCCTATATTTTCTTCGAAAAGTTTAAGAACTTATTTTTGATTAACGGACTATTAACGGACTATTAACTCATTCCGAAATAAATTTTGCATTTGATGTGGGATACAGATCAAATTTTCCTTGATAATTGTCACAAAACAATCAATGTGGAATTCACTGTCCCCTTAATTTATTTAACATCACTTCTGTTTTGTAGTAAGTTCCTAAATATGAGTAGAATTGTTTCAAAATTCTCTTTTTCTGCCATTGCTAAACCATCTCAATAACTAGAGAACTGTAAATCTTAATATCTAGTAAGGCATATATCCTTATACTTATGCAATGCCTTTAAATATTAAGATTAGTCTTCAAACTTTTCCAAAATACCCAGTACATATTTTGATCAGATTTACTCTACATTTATAATTTTGGGAGAATTGCTATCTTTATAATATTGTTTTCGTACCTATAAAACTATGAACATGGCATACCTCTTTCTCTATTCTTTTTATTTCTCCCTTATGACACTGGGCATTGAACCCACACTGAGCTACATCTCTGGTCCACATTTTATTTTGAGACAAGGTCTCAAAATTGCTAAACTGCCCATGCTGGGTTCAAACTCACAATCTTCCTTCCTGGGGTTATAAGCCTGATGGGATTACAAGTGTGTGTGACCATGTCAGGCTGTTATATCTCCTTTCTTTTTTCTCTCTTTTTAACTACAATAATAATATTTGGTAATTGTATACATAAATATCTTCAGCATTGTGTGCAAGATTTATAGCTATACACTTCAAAGTTTTAGTTGATACTATGAAAGAAATCTGCATTCTACTACATTTCCTAAGTGGTCATCACATGTAGGTAAGACACACTAATTTTTCTAATGGTGTCCCTGTACACAATAACTTTGCTGAATTATCATATTAGTTAAAATAAACAGTCTAGATATTATTTTAATTTTCTTGGTAAATCATCATATCATATGCAAATTAAACAGGTTTAGTTCATGGTCTTCAATGCTTATCATGCCTTCAAATTCACTTTTTATTTTACTGCATAAATAAGAGTTGATTATGTAGGTTAATTTTGATATAAATGTTTATGATTTACCAATAATTACGATGAATGCTGTAAATGCTTGACAGATATCATTTATAAAGTTTAATAAGATCTTTTCTATTCCTAGTTTGCTACAGTTTTTTACCATGAGTTATCAAATGCTTTTTTAATGTCATAAGATATTTCAATGTCACAAGTTCTTTTTCTACAATCACTGAGATAATCATATACTTTCTTTCCTTGTATTAGTTAATATAGTAAAATGTAATAAATACATATAATTGAGTGAATTATAACAGTGAATTAAATTTGCCAATATTTTATTTCATAATCATCTGTTCATGAAACTTCTAACATTTTTATCTATTTTGATATTAATACACCTATTATAAAATGAGCTTGATAGACATCTTGTTTTTTATTGTATAAGACGACACAAATCTTTCACAATTTGGTAAAAACACATGTAATATTATCTGAGACTGATGGAGAAGCTATTAAGTATAGATTTGGCTATTTTCAGTTTTCCCTTATATGCAAATTTACCCTCACTGCTAATATGTCATGTCTATTTAAAAATCAGTTATCTTCCCATGAAAACAAGGACTGTTCCACTGTTATCATATAGTACATGCGCAAAGATTTTTGCTTCACTGACTGATGCTAATGATTTCCTTTGGTCTTTTTATTAAACTTGTACAAATTACATACGTAGCAAGATTACATCTATTTAAAAAATCCTATTCGTATAAAAATAGACAGAAAGAAGAAGCCAGACATGAGGACATACACCTTTAATTCCAACACTCTATGAGGTTGAGGCAGGAGGATTGCCAAGTTTGAGCCCAGACTGGGTAATTTGATGACTTAATGAGACCCTGCCTCAAACTAATAAAAGGGTCTGTGGATGTGCCTCAGTGTAAAGGCCATAGGTATAGTCCCAAGTACCACACGTGCATGCATGCGTGTGCACACACGTGCACACACACACACACACACACACACGGACAAAAAAAATTTTTGTAGGTTAAAATTAGATAAGAGTTTATAAAAAACACTTCAACTGAGAGCAGGAATTCAGAATCCATCACCTTTCTTCTCCTTTCCACTCACCATTCTTGAAGCAAAAGCTTCCCATGGGTCAGCAGCAGGTGCCACTTACACCTTTCCAGTACCGTGGAAATCTGCAGATACAATACACTTAGCAACAAACTCAGACCTGGGTTCCAGTTCTTACGCTGCCATAGCCGGTTGGGTGACATTGAGCAGATCACTGAACCTTTCCAGACTTTCAGTTCAAGAGGAAATAATCTCTCAAAAGTCTTTGTTAAGAGAATTAAATGAAACAATATATGTGCATGCATATTATCAACCTATAAGGAGATCTGTTTCATACATGTGTGCATGTAAGTTTTTCTAGATCAGCCTTGTGTGCTACCCGCTAAATTGTGCTGAACTCAAAACAAATGTGATCCAAGGCAAGGGCTAATTCTCTGCACATTTGCTCTTTTCCACTTTCTGTGGTAGCCGGGTTTTGCCTCTACTACAATGCTGCGGGTCTCATATCCTTCAAGGCTTTCTTCGCTGCGTGAGGTGTACACATCGGTGTGTGCTTTCCCTTTCTATTTCTTTAATAAGGAAAGATGGGCTGAGTACCTGTCCTGTGCCATGACCTGGATGTCATATCGCTGATATCACGGCTCTGCTTGCAGATTAAGAGTATGTAGCATTCTAATACTTGACTGCATTTCCCAGACTCCAACCTGCCTGTTCACTCCCTTTTAGCTTCCTCATGCATGTGTATCTTTATCAACAGTTATTATTCTGCACTTAGAAAGCAGTCAGCTATTTTAAGCAGTAAGAATGTGCATCTAATCTCCCCTGAGATCCAGCTAGGAGCAACCATTCTGTGGAAGGCTAACCTATGCTTGCATTATCATAGATTCACAGGATAAAAACATCCTGAGGGAAATAGAAGAAAAAGGAGAGTAAAGGCAGTCTATTCAGTTGCCTCCTACTAAGTGATTTATTTAATGGAACATAACAACAGTTATTTATTAGCCGAAGGATCCCATTCTATTAGCTTTCATATTATCAGCTCATTTAGCTTGTATTTACAAGAGGGAATTTTATGATTATAATTATTCCTCCTGTCCCAATGAACAAAGTTTAGAAGGAGAACTGCTACAGAAATAAGTGAAATACTTCCTGAGAGTATTTTAATTCCATTTATTCTTTGCAATAAAAATGGAGATAGTTTTTACAATACAGTATATGACTGATGAGAAAGTAGTATTACAAAATTTTTAGGAGATGGACTCAAGTTCTTTAGGGATTTTCACAGTTTGCAAAAATAAAATGTATGCAATGCATTAAGATAACATTTAACAAGTGCAAGGAGTTGGGTGCTTTTAATACTGGCCAGGATATCAGACTTTCTGATCAAAAAGACTCTAGCCATCCACACACAAGCTCTGCCAGTGGTGGCGGAGCATGCCTATAACCCCAGCACTCTGGATGCTGAGGCAGGAGGCTTGCAAATTTAAGCCCAGCCAAACACACATTTCAAGAGCTGCAGCACTAAGACATTCCACTTCATCATACAAAGCTGGAGATGAGAAAGAGAGCCAGGGAAAAGGACACAGGTTATAGTCCAAGCCCATACATCTCTGGTCCCCTAAGGTATAGAAAAGGTTCAATAATTTCTCACAGCATGAAACAGAATTAACTTCCACTAACTGAGAACTGGAATAACCTGAGCACACGTTCCGTGTTGTACTTTTAGTCATGACAGATGAAGCGTGAGGACAATCCAATCACAAGAGATGCTGAGAAAGGCTAGTGGGTATTCAGACAAAAGATAAGAACTGATAAATAAACACAACCATCTACCAGTCTGTGTACTTACGAACATAATCCATCAAATACACTGAGGAGAAAGGCTGGACAAAGCCATCAACAGAGAGAGATGACTCGCTAAATCAAAATCGGGTCAAAGACAACTCTAGTGGTTTCCCTGAAATGGAAACAAAATGTTCACGGTGTCCTTCAACAGCAAGGAACCTGTCAGACTCACCTCATGCCTGGAGAAGAGCCGGACACCCTCCAGCTGGTGGAACACAGGGTAGTGCTGGGAGTCGATCTGGTCACGCCGGTAGACGTCCCCCACCACCAGGAAGGCGTCCAGCCCCGCGTGCAGCAAGTCCCACTGGTGCGCCGACGTGTGTGCTCTCAGCATGTGGGTCTGGTTCAGGTAGTAGTTGTCCCCCTTCTTCCTGCTGGGGTGGTCAGCTGGGATGAGCAGGCTATCAAAGTTCTGCCAGGTCGTGACCACAGGAGAAAGGTCGTCATAGACCGAGAACAGCGGGGTCCCAAAGCGGCCCACATACTGCTTGTAGAAGTGCTGCTTCACCCTCTCTTTGATCAGCCACAGAGGGTGGTGCTGCTGGTTGTACAGATTCCTGCCAACTTTGGACAGGACCTTCTGGCTGAGGTTGCTGTGGTGGTCCTGAGGATAGGATTTGCCCAGCAGCTCTAGAACACTGCCTGGAGCTCCAGGAGCAGCAAAATCTGATGTAGCCGACCTCGATCCCCACGCCCGATGCTGGTGGCCTCTGCAGACATGACTGGCCCTCATCACCAGACAGATGTGTGCACGGGCAACTCTGCTGAGCACTGCACAAACCATCGTGGAAACCGCTGCTTGCAGATCCTGGAAAGAACACACATGCAAAGTATATGTCAGGCTTCACTCTGTGGGACAGCAAGCGAGTCCTCTGATCTCCTACCACTTCTGCCCTTTCCTACAGACTCTGATGTGGCCCTACCATCACCTCCACACAGCAGGAAGATCCCTTAAGAAAATCTGTTCACAGTGGGTGCCACAGCTTAAATGTCCCCTCCAAAACTCAAGGTGAAATGGAATCTCCATCACAACAACAGGAAAAAGGTAGGACTCTGAAGAGGTGACTAGCTCATGAGGGATTTATCTGTCTCAGAGCAGACTGAACCCATTGTGGTAGGGTGGCCTCCTGAAAAAGTGTGAACTTGGCTCCACCCCAACCTCTCCATCCATCCTGGCCTAGCACAGAAAGAAGGCCACTGCCAGATGCCAGCACTTGGATCTTAGCCTTCCCAGAATTAGAACTGTGAAAAGAAGTGAATTCTTTTCTCTATACATTACCCAGTCAATACTATTCTGTTACAGCAACAAAAAACAGACTAAGAGGTTTACTGATTGATGCAAAAAAATCAAAAGTATCTTTGAAGTCACATTTAGATTCCTCTCTAGTTGAATTCTCATCATTTAGATATCTAGCTTTATAGAAATTTCCTTCACTATGCCACTATTTTCTAAACTGCATAAGTGATTTAAAATTTTAAGGTGATAACTTCTTTTATTTTTACTACTTTCTAAAACAAAAATTAGGGCTGGGGATTTAGCTCAGCGATTCAGTGGCCTGCCTTGCAAGCGCAAGGACCCGAAGTTCAATCCCCAGTACCAAAAAAACAAAACAAAACAAAAATTTACACTTTTTTGTTAACACACATTAATCATACAGATTAATGGTTTGCTATTTCATATGTGTGCATACAGTACATTGATCATTGGAGGTGTTTGGACCAAAATACTTTATAAGGATCACCTGAAAGCTTAGATCCACTTACATGGACCCTAATCAGGGTCTCTTAAATCAGGAAAAGGCTAAGATCACATATAAGCCTCTGAGGATAGAAGAAAAAATATATTAAATAACCATGCTTCCTATCTCTGCCTTCTGTCCTGATAACACAAAGTTCAGCTTTCTTTGGACAGAGCATGAATTCTGGCTTCTGAATTATTTCAAAAGATAACAAAAGGACATTAACCATTCTTCTTTTAAATGTTGTGAATAAAGGACACTACTTAATATGGTGATGATCTTTATTTAATAATATTTAAAAATAAGCAGAAAACTTAAGGAAATGTTATACAAAGTGATAGACTACACTAATGGATAGCTGCAGCTATTTTTATAAATACTAATCTCCCCCATCCTTACATCTGGTCATGTCATTTAAACTAGATACCTTGTATCATCCTATCAAACACATTTTTGTTCTGCAAAAGAACATATTTCTACTACAAACCCACAATAAAACAGGCATAGGACTGAATTTATTGAAGGGTCACAGAGCTGCCAGAAGACAGGGTACTGACTCAAATTAAAATGAAGAAAGAAGAGAAGGAGGAAGTGGAAAAGGAGAACAGAAGAGAAGAGGCCGATGCAGAGGAGGAGGGAAAGAAAAATGCCTGGACCAATGACATTACCAAATTTCCCAGCTGCAAGTTGCCTGTGCAGCCAGCCATTCCCCACTGAGAGGAGGTGATAAAGATACAGATACGGCTGAACACAATCTATAACTGCTAGCAGCAAAAGTAAGACAACAGCAACAGACTCTGGAGCACTAATACAGTGTTCCTTCCCTAGTGCAACAAGAGGCAGCTTTAAATTCCCTCAGGGCTCTCAGTAATGAGAGAGCCAAATCTCAACGTTCATAAATAATTTCAGCTCATAAACTTAAAATCACTCTAATCTTCTAAAATTTGGAATTTGAAGCAACTGAGCTACTGTAAAACATACAACTATATGGCCATTTTACTTCAAGAGCCATGCAATCATATCAAGAAAACATATTGCTTCATGGTATGAAGCTGCACTGGGAGAGAAGCACATTGCTCCAAGTAACACACACCAGCATGTAAATGGGCAGCAAGATTCCCTGAGTCAAAACTGGAAAGGAGAATGCTGAACTTCAAATTAAATGCTGTGCTTGCGGGAGCACTGCTTATTAGAAGCCTGTACACAGGTCCTTCACCTAAGACTATCAGGGGAAATGTTCTGAGATACTCAGGAACTCTGGATTTATTCATTCATGGTATTATTTTGTCAGAGTTGCATCAAAAGGGGCTTTGACTAAGCTTCACCTGAAATCTGTCTTCCCATCTACATTATTCAGCAACTTGTCACTGTGGTGGATATGAACTTTAAATATGCATATGCATTCTTACACATCTTTGTACAGAGCCATGCTGGTTAGGTCGTTAGTTACCCAATTCAGCATCCACGGCAAGACACAAAAAGTATTTTTTTCCTTCCAAAGACACATGCTGTTATACAAAGTTCAGGGTTGTTCTGACAAAGTAGTAGCTTTTAGGCAGTTATTCAGTTATTCAGTTACCAACTCTGTTTCTTCTCGGTTTCTAGTTCCTCACACACATAACCTACATGTCCCAGAGATGCACCCTATCCAAATGAAAACATTAATTTTGCACTGGAGACAGGAATACTTTGAAATGACTATAAAGGACATATTATAGCATCTTTGATATTCTTTTTTTTTTTTTCTTTTTTCGGAACCAGGGATCAAACCTGGGATCTTGTGCTTACAAGGCAGGCAGCAGAACCACTGAGCTAAATCCCGGCCCCATAATATACCATCTTCAAGGAACAAAACAGGCACTTGGTAAGTGACAACAATGATTTATTATTAACCATTACTACAGGGGTGGGCTGCTGAAAGGTCTGCATAATGGGCATGGTAGTCAAGCCCACTTCTCTGCAAGGCCACCTTAGGAAGTAACACTTTCAAAGACACCTCGCTAATGCTTCCAGAACTATATTGAATAGGAATAGTGAGCATGGACATCCTTGTTTTCTGCCTAATTTTACTTTTTTTTTTTTATGTTTTTTTGGTACTGGGGATGGAACTCTGGTCCTTGCACTTGCAAAGCAGGCTGCAGAACCACGGAGCTAAATCCCTGGCCCCTTCTTCCTAATTTTAAAGGAAAGTTTTTGGGTTTTGACCATTTAGTATGATCTTGGCTGTTGGTTTCTCATAAAAGACTTTTATCAGTTGACATAGGGCCATCTAGTCCATCTAGAGTTTTTTTTGTGGGGGGCATATAGTGGATCAAACTCAGAATCTTGCACTTACGAGGCAGGTGCAGTGCCACTGAGCTAAATCCCTGGCCCTCTGTAGGGTTTTTATCATGAAGGGGTGTTGGACTTTGTCGTATGCTTTTTCCACATCTACTGAGATGATCCTGTGATTTCTGTCCTTGGCTCTGTTAATATGGTACATTACATTTATTGATTTGAGTGTGTTGAACCATCCGTACATCCCTGGGATGAATCCTACTTGGCTATGGTGCATAATCTTTTTGATGTTTCACTACATTCTGTTTGCCAGTATCTCATTGAGGATTTCTGCATTTATATTCATTAGGAAGACTGGCCTGTAGTTCTCTTTTTTGGTTGGATTCTTCTCTGGTTTTGTTATCAGTAATACTTGCTTCTAAGAATGAACTTGGGAGTACTGCTTACCTTTCAATTTCATTAGAGAGTTTGAGGAGTAGTAGCATTACATCCCTAAATTCCTTGTAGAATTCAGCAGTAAATCCATCAGAATCTGGGCTTTTCTTTGCTAATACCAATATACTTAATTAATGAAAAAAAACCACTGAGGATTTAGCTCAGTGGTGCTGCCACCTCACAAGTGCAAGGACCTGAGTTCAATCCCCAGCACCAAAAAAAAGAGAAAACAAACCCACTAATTATCTTGAGATTTGCAGAACTGTAAAACATTTTGTGATTAGGCAACTAAAGTCAGATGTGGATCATCTGACCACAAATTTGGAACCTCCATCCCTTGAGAAAAGGTGCCTACCACCTAAATTTACCTATTACCTGGCTACTGTATCAGTTTCCCTGCAATATCCACTTCAGACAATAGTCCTCCCTTTTCTCAGTCATTGCCCTTTCAAATAACTTTTCCTTCCTTGACTCAACACCTTGTCTTTCACCAGAATTGGTCTGTTGTATTGTGAGCCAACAGAGTTGGGTATGGACAAGTATAAGGACAATTATTCCTTTTTCTTTCTAGCTATAGTTACTAGCAAAAGTAATCTATATAACAGCAATATGAGACATTATGTCTAATATGTCACTGTATATTAATAGTGTAGATAAATATGTTATTAATTTTAAAAATAAATCAAGTATATGATGCTTGGTTTTTTTGTGTGGTTTTGGAGTTTGGCCACATTGAGAATGCTTTCAGTTTTCTTCACCACTATAAGTTTAATACAGTGACTAGAAGTAGTAAAACAGTTTAGAAATGTCTGTTGTAGAATGAAGGAATTTCATAACAGTTTCAGCAATCCTCTCAACCTCCTTCATTCTTCCTTGTAGAGGAAACACTAGGTAGTGCATGAACACCACCGAACCACAAGTTTCTCTAGGGGCCAGTTAGCTTACAGAGAAAGACCAATGGTAAGTAAGTGACCATGACCCACACATGGTCAACACCACACAACAATGATCAAGCACATCTGATAACCCTAAATGCAGTACTTCAGAAAAAACAGAATTTGGCTGTCAACACACATATTTTACTTAACAAAATAATGGTGAGGACATGGCCAACTCTTATGAACTTTTACTCATAAAGGGGCAAATCTAGAATATGTTTTTGTTCCTTTGACAGCATGAAAACAAAGTAAATGTCTACAAGTAGGCAGTTTCCTATATTACTGGTGATGTTTCCTAGGAAGCAATTCAGAACTATCAAAACACTTAAAACTGTTCATGTGCCTTGACAGGATAATGAAGCTTCTTAGAACTTAGCACAAAGAATGTATATGAAGACAGAAATTTCTATGCTTTAAAT